CAGCAATGTATGTAATACATAATTTTGTTATTATTTATATAGTTATGGAAATTAAATAATACATGGAAAAAATGAAAGGGTTTTTTTTACGTGGTTTTTTTTTTTTTTTTAGTCATCCCTGCCGGGGCCCCGCCGAAAATGTTCAACAACAGGACTGTGGAGTGTGCTTTTTGCTGTTTAAAGGGCCGCAGGCGCTTTCTGTATGGGAAGCTGGACCTGGCCGATGACAGCATCCCCGCGGTTATATCCGTGTGCTGTACCCTCCATAACATTTGTGAAGGGAAGGGTGAAAGCCTCAGTCAGGCATGGACCTCATGGACCATAAACCCCTGGAGGCTGAATTTGCACAGCCAGAGAGCAGGGCTATTAAAGGGGCCCAGCATGGGGCTGCAAGGATTAGGGATGCCTTGAGGGAGCAATTTGAAGCTGTAATGTCTGGTGCCCTGCACGGGAGTGAAGTGCAGTTAGTAGGAATCTCTGTTTGCTATGCTGATTTGCAGTGGCTGTTGCTTTCCTGGGCTAAGGTATCTTTTCCTTTATGCAATAATAAAGAATGTTTTCAAAGCCAAAAAAATCCATTTGTTGAAAAGAAAATTCATTTATTGAAAAGAAACACAACTGCTTGGGAAACAGAAAGGGCAAGGGGTTGGGGTGGGGATCGGTACAATCACAGATTTGCATAGGTTCTGTTATCATACTCAGCCTTCCTGTCTGGAGTGCTGTGCAATGAGTGCTGCACTTCAGGATGGCTATACTGCATGGTGATGGGGGCTGACTGCCGTGGGTAAGGGTCGTAGTTTTCAGGGCTGGGTGGTGAAGCTACAGGTGTTGGAGGCAGCTGGTGGCAATAAGAACCCGGATGTTGGGGAAAGTGGGTTGGAGGTGACATGGGGGCACAAGGGAAAGAGTTTTGGGACAAGGGCTGCAGGGGGGGGAGCACAGTAGTGCTCTGTCTGCATGGCTATGAGAACCTGGATAGAGTCCGCTTGGCGCTCCGTGATGCTTATCAGCTGATCCGTGTTTTGCTGCCAGAGCTCCGCGCTTTTGTGCCAGCGATCTGCATTCTGCTGGTGGATCCTCCTTTCACTCTCCCGCTACTCCTGCGCTTTTAGATTCTCATTAAGTGACTGCTGCATTACTTCATGCAGCATGTCCTCTTTGCTTCTATGTGGCCTCTTCCTGATTCTTTGCAATCTCTCGGCCAGTGATAACATGGACGGCTGAGATCTTAAGGTTGCATCTGTAAAGGCAAAATGCAACACTTAACAGAAGCAGCATTGTTCACACCAGATAGAGCAATGATTCCCCTGTACTTAAGGAGGGCAAGCACAGTCTACACAGTAGCATAATTTGCCCATCCCAAAGCAAGCGCACATAACCCACAGGAGCCCCAAAATGGTGAGTAAGCACAGGGTCAAGGGGGACTGATTGTTTCATGGCTGTACTGTCCTCTGGGTTTCTATGCCTTGGGGAGAGCCAACAGCTGCAGGGGCCCTATACTGAATACTCTCCCCACATTTTCCACGGGAGTTCGTCCTGGAAGATATCTCGCTGCTGAGGGTGACCTAGGAAGCAAGGGAGGGTCTTCTACTGCAATGTGGCTTCCGCCCTGGCCCCTATGCAGCTTGCCTGTGTGCAGCAATGGTCCCCCCACCCCTCACAGCCCAGTGGCGCGGACATGTTAGCCTGACTGGGACAAGGACCATGATGGCTCGCCCAAGAAACCTGCACAAGCTCATTGCCCAAGTTCTGGCTGAGACCTTTGAAGAGATCACTGATGCCGAGTACCACAATGTGAGAGAGCACATCAGTGCCCTTTTCCGCATTTAGGCATGCATGCAGCCCTAACCCTCCTCGCCCCAAGAGCCCGCACAGAATAACTTCCTTCCAAAAATAAAAGCCGCTTACCAGGAACCTCCTCTGGTGTTTGTCCTTCCCCAAGCACCAGCCACCATGACTGGCTACCTTCCTCCTGGCTTGAGAACAGCTCCTGGCTGCATGCATCAAGGGATGCCGGGGTGACTTCCTCCTCCTCAGCACCCTCACTCCCACTTTGCTCCTCCTCCTGCCTTGTTGAACTGGGCTCTGAAGTGTCCAGTGATGGTACTCAGAATGGAGGTGGGGTCGTCCCCAAGTATCGCATCCAGCTCTTTGTAGAAACAGCACATCACGGGGGCAGCACCGGAGCAGTGGTTTGCCTCGCGGGCTTTGCGGTAGGCATTCTGAAGCTTCTTCACTTTAACCCTGCACTGCAGTATGTCCCAGTCATGGCCCCTTTCCATCATGTCCCTTGATATCTACCTGAAGGTATCGTAATTCCTACGGCTGGAGCGCAGCTGGGACTGGACAGCTTCCTCCCCCAAACACTGATGAGGTCCAGCACCTCACCATTGCTCCATACTGGGGATCGCCTGGCCAGGGCCGGATTAACCTTTTGTGGGCCTGGCGCCAAACATATTTGTGGGCCCCCATGGAGGCAATGGAGCATGGCACGGGGAGGTCAGTCCCCAGAGCAAGGGGCCAGCCAGAGACAATGGGGCATGGCATGGCAGGGGCGGCCCTACTCTGCCCAATGCGAGGGCACTATTTACAAACCGGCAGCTGCCAGACGCACAGTGGCCTGCCCGGCCTTGTGCTGCTAGCGTGCCCCTTCTCCTTGGGGGCAGGCCTGTTCCACACCACACAGCCCCCCCCAACTCCCTATGGCCAGAGGCCCCCAGATCCACTATGCCCAGCGCCCCCCAGACCCACCCACAAATGCACAATGCCCTGCACAACACCACCCCTGCCCACAGCCCCACCACAAGTGCCCAGCACCCCACACAGAACCCCCACTCCCTAGTGCCCAACACACACAGATCCTCCCCGCCCCTTCACAGCCCAGCACCCCCCCACACACCCTACAGACCCACTCCCCCAAGCCCTGCCTCCCGGCTGCACTCACCAGCCCTGCTGGGAGGCGACTGTGTCTGCCGGGCTGAACCAGCAGCGCACCCAAGGCTGGTCCCAGGGCCAGGAATCGCTCCATTCCCTCGGGAGTGGTGCGATCAGCCAGGCCAGGACCTGCCCCAGTCGGGCTCTCTCAAGATGCACTTGCCTGGAGGGGCCCTGCCAAGTCCTTCTCCACACTGTCCCCCGCACACACACACCTGGCTGAGACTGGCCAGGCTTCTGCACCAATCCCAGGTGGCTCAGCTCCCAGGAGACAGGCAGGGCCCCACATGTAGTGACTGTGGAGCTGCCCGGAGCTGGAGGTGCACTGGGGTCCGGCCAGGGGGCTGAGAGGAGCAAGGGGTGGGGCCAGGGGGTGGAGAGGAGCCCTCGGCCTGCCGGCGGGCAGGCTGAGAGAAGCAAGTGGTGGGCAGGGGGAGCCAGCAGGCTCTCAGGGCGTAGTGCAAGCGGAGAAGGCCAGGGCCCCTTCTGACCATGGGCCCAGCCCCATGGAACCACTGGAGTCATTGTAAATCTGGCACTGCACCTTGCGCGTGGAGACATGGTCACCTGGAAAGATTCACTGAGAGCGCTCCACGCCTGGCTGAGCAAACAGGAAGGGGATTTTCAAAATTGCCAGAGAATGTAAAGGGTGGGACGGGTCTGACGGTTGGTCACCTAGAGCAGTAGAGTTCAAACTGATGACCAGAGTGGCTAGAACAGGCATTGTGGGACACTTCTGGAGGCCGATCAGAGCGCATTAACAGACCAGGGTATCCACACTGGCACCGCGGCGCTCCAGCGGGGGTGCATCAAACATTATTCCACTCGCCGAGGTGAACTACCAGGAGCACTCTAGCCGTGGAGTCTGGGCGCTGTACATGCCTTGCCAGTGTGGCTGCATTGTGAGTTAGAGCGCACTGGGCTGCTTTCATGCGCTCTAACTCGCAAGTGTAGCCATGCCCCAGGGGTTGAGGAGCTGCCTTCCTACCCCTTCCATCTCATAAGAACATAAAAACGGCCACACTGGGTCAGACCAAAGGTCCACCTAGCCCAGTGTCCTGTCTTCTGACAGTGTCCAATGCCAGGTGCCCCCGAGGGAATGAACAGAACAGGTGACCACCAGGTGATCCATCCCCTGTCGCATATTCCCAGCTTCTGGCAAACATCTCCCTCTGCTATCATTGTTGTGTCATTCCTCCCTTTCCTGTATGGCATCCTACCCCACTCCATCTCCTCCACTCACATTCTCCCTCTCCACTTCCCCAGCCTCCTGTCCACATATTAACCCCTCTCTTTCCTTCACACACTTTCTCCTCACCTTTTTTGTCTCCCACCTCTACTCCTGCACTCAGTTTCCTCCCGCTCCTCACATCCCTGTCTCATAGATCTCTGTGCTGACCCCTAACCATAGACCGACCATCGTCTTCACTGATCAACAGCCTGGGTTCAGACTCATTGACTGAACAACAGGAGTCGGCCAAACTATTTATTGGGGGGCAGCTTCCTAGGGACTGGCAGGCATTTTCTGAGAGAGCAGCATGGATTCAGGCCCACAGAAAGTAACAGGGGGATGGGGACTGCTTTGGCTGAGGGAGAATTTGCAAGGCAGATGCTGGTGATCACAGGACAACGAGAAAATTTTAACAGGACAACGAGAAAAGTTTAAAGAAACCCAAATATCATGAGTTTTGCAATAAAATCCCCAGAGCTGCCAACTCCTCAGCTGCTTTTCCCCTCCCAACTTCTGGCACCTCCCCCAGCACCCACCCTGATGAGCTAGACACAAAACCATCTTGCCTAGAGGGGGATGTGCAAGGTGGGTTCCTCCCACCAACACTTTCCAGGGAGTGGATGGGTGGGGGCCCCACCCACACCTGCTGGGAGCACAATGATGGGCGGGGGCACCGGGAGGGCTGTGGCTATTGCTAAGGGGGGGGGGCAACTTGTGTGTTCTCTGTATTTGTTCATGCATGGGGGGGAGGTGGGGTCTCTGGGATTCCTGGGTCAGATGCTGCTGTTGCTGATGCTGCTGCCTCCATTGTGATCTGGGAGCCTGATGTGCAGCTGCTGCTCCCCCAGTGGGCTCTGTGCTGGGAGATGGGAACTTTCTGCGGTGGCTGGAATCAGCTCCTGGGGCAGCCCCGGGCTCTGCCGACACCAGCCCCTGAGCCGGAGCCTGCAGGTGAGGGGAGAGACCCGGGGAAAGGGCTGGGGCCGGGCAGGAAAGTGACTCTG